AGGGGGGGAGGGGTGTGAAAGTCAAGATGAGACGAATCCGAAGAGGTGAGCGAGAAGGAGAGGGGGAAAAAGGGGGAGAAAAATACGTTAAAGAGTAAAGATAAAAAGTCTACGATGGTTATCAGACCATTGTACTAAACCTTAGTGTATACGAGGAGAGCGTAAGAAAGAAAATAAAAGGACTGAGCCTTGCTGTAAATTTCTGAATTACTCGCGCAGTGCCAGTTTGCAGTCCCAGACCGGTAATCTTCTGGGCAAGGAAAAAAAAAAAGAAAAAGAAAATTGCACTTCGCGTAAATGAGAGTGGAGAATAAGAGTAAGTGAGAAAGAGAGCCATAGCACGCGGAAGCCTGTCAAGCAGTTTAGGTGAGAGAGAAAGGAAAAGTACTCCGAATGGTAGATACGGTGGCAAACGCTCGAAATTAACGAGAACGCGGTGGTTTACGTGTTAAATCGTGCCGTAGGATGGTGGTAGGTGAGACGAGTGTAAAATAAAAGTTCTCCCCATTTTCTACACATCGAGGGCGATCCGTAAAGGATATAAATATATAAAACAATTTTGCGTGGGTATTACCTTGTGTCTCTTATCGGTGAATGAAGAGCGTACTGTGACTGGCTCTTATCCCGTGGCATCCTATGTAGACAATTGTGAAGCCGAGTGCACGGGCAGATAGACCCATATGCAGCGACGTACGAAGACGCCACTCTGGTGGCATCGGGCGGAACTATTATTAACGATGGTTTACCAGTGACAATTGCGATGCCGTACGACGGTAGAGCCACGCGACGATAGCGAGCAGACACCTAAATTAATGACGGACAACCGACTAGAGAACTGCTTGGTAACGTAGCCGACTGTTAAGTGACTTTCCAGGAATGGATTTAGTCGTTGCGCAATATGCCAATGATCCAAGAGGTCTACGTAGAGTCAAGCGAATCTGTCACCGTCCTCGTGTTGACATCGCTCTTCGCTCGGGAAAGGAACAGTGTCGGCCAGTTCTTCGTGCCGTCGTGTCAGTAGTGGTGTGTTTGCAAGTGATTCCGAGGATTTTCATGATCGGGATTGAAATATTCTTTTATAGGTTACGAGGCGAAGCAATCGAGTACCACGTGGATCGATTCGCTACTCGTTCGTTGGGGTCTCGTTGGTTTGGATAAATAAAAGCACCGGGACGAATCCAGTTTACGAGCTGAATGGCGGCGAGGCGTGAGGATAGGCGGATTAATAAAAGGTAAGAGAAATACTCGGGAACGGAGTAAAAGCCAGAGAAAGGAGCAGCGGTACGAGGAGTGGCGAAACGGCGTCGTTGGCACGAGCCATAGCGAGTCGCGAGAAACGTTGCAATTAGCGTTGGCTGGCTGGTAACTTCCTGCGGGTTCGTCCCGTTTCTTTCTACCCAAGGCGGGCGCAGCTTCTGATAGAAATGATGCTCGTTGGTGCTCCTTGTTCTAGAATGCAGCCAACCCACTGGTTAAGTCCCAAGACGACTGAAATATCAAACTTTATACGTCTGGCGGTCTGAAGAGAGTACCACGTTGCGGTTCATCAAAGCGGCATTCTCCAACGTGGAGGAAGACGAAGCGTAATGATAATAAAAAAAAAAAAATGGCCACGATCCGCGAGTACGGCTTAGAGCCATAGGAGTGGGCTACGGACAGAGAGCTTTGGGTAAGGTCAGAAATGCCAGAGTGAAACAAAAAACAGAGACGTATATATATACGCGTACCCTTGAAGGATCTTAGGTCTAGGAGGTAATGCATTTCCCGATTGATCTCAAGAAAGTCTCGGGATACTTGGGGATGAGAAAAAGGAAGTCCAGGTCTCGTATGATCCTGCAACGATAGGACAGGCTGGTATTCCAAATGGACGCTAAGAGCAGACAGAAGGGTAAGACCGACCCCTATCTTCCTTGCGAGCGTGCAGAGCTGCTAGGGTGGTTGCGGAGGGACGAAGGGAGAGTAGAACGAGGGGTGGCCTCTCTTTGACTGGCGAGCCCCGAATGAAACAAAAGGAAATCGAGACGGGGTATGAGTGTTTTGTTGCGCCACCCTCACCACTTTGGGATAAAGAATCCACGCTTCGATATTTCACCCCCGAGTACAATGCGGTCATTTGCATTTTCCCAGGGAATTTTTTTCCCCAGCCTCTACGTCCGTGCAGTGCAGTGCAATACAGTACCGCCTGTGATACGGCCTGTAAAAGGCGGCCCTACCACAACCTGACTCATATATATATACAGTACTAAGGGTTGAAACTGGTTAAAGGGACGAAATTTACCCCTCTCCGCGCTCTCCCTCCCACTTCAACACCCTCAAACTCCGCCGTGGAACAAATTGCGAGAATTATGGAAATCGTTCGACAGCCACCCGATCGTTGAGCCTAATCTACCGTGAAAGTCAAGAAAAAAAAAGTCCATCAAACCCTCATTACGATATAGAAATTTTCACTCGATTCCGTAACGAGTACTCGTCATCCCCCAAAACATTAAATCCAATCGACTTTAGCCTACGAAGAAAGCACTGCGCCATGGCAACTAATGGACGGTACAGACGACGCAGCTGCTATGACGAACGTTCAAGTTATAAACGAAAAGCCATATAGATCATGTGCCATATATATATATATATATATATATATATATATATATAGATATAGATATAAATATATAACACGTCAAAGATATGCTACGTACGTATATATGTATTCGTAATATAGTATAGAGTAACGTGTCTCGCAACAGTGAAGCAACGATATTCACGATATCGTCGATAATTCCGATAGTTATGTCCCAGCGTATGTACCTATGGAACCGTCAGGCAGCAGCATAGTCTATAAATTGGTCCGTGGAGGGAATAGGAACCTGAAGGGACAACGAGGATGTGGAGGGTTGAAGAGAATGAGGGACGGGTTATCGTGGGAGAGGCCAATTCAAGTGTTGGACGAGGAAGAGTAGTCGGAGTGTCCTAAACCGCGCGCACTGACACCCTAAGCCAACTACACAATGCGACGTACATTATAACGTGGACCCAGGGAGAAACAGGTTAAACGTAGGTACAGCCATTGGTCTGTACTAATGTGTACATACGTACAGATCTCATTGAGCATCGTGCTTTGAGGGTACATAGTCATGCAGAGAGACAATGGTGTCCAGTAGTAGCGAATCTAGAGACCTAGATATAGTTATGCAGAACTTAGAGTATGCTGTGTGTGTATATATATATTACGTGGGTATAGATATACTGCTGGATGGAGAGTCCCTAACCTCTAAATGGGAGCGGGTCACTCGAAAGCTAGTAATTTCAAGCGTTTCTCACTGCTGCGAATTCGGCATCGAGTGGAAGGATCGGGGAAGTCCGAGTTCCGAGTACCCTCGGATGCTGGAAATTCCTCGTGAAGATTCTCTGTGCACGTAGTTTTGCCGAAACCGCATATCCGTGTGACGTACCCGTGTTTAAGAAGACGTGAGTATCCTTGAAATGTTATTGCTTGGTCTGGCTACATACCTCCCGCTGGGATTGGAGTGTTGTTTTCTTATGAGGTATATATAAGGGCGCCGAGAAGGGTGTTTAGGTTTAGGTTATTAGCTCAGAGGAACCTGAAGCACGTGCCACGTGGGGAGATAGACTCGTGTGGTAGTAGGAGATGGTCTTTGGAGTTTTACGAATTCTTTAGGGAGCTTCACGTGTATGCGTGCCCAAGAAAATGTTCTAGAAGAATTCTACGGTCGAGTTGTAGAGGCTCTACTTGCTCTCCGAAGCAGACCTCGACGATTCTTCGTAGAGAATGACGTAAGTCATCCCCGCTCTTCGGACGCATTGTGGTCAATGCTCGAGCGCACTACATACGAGTATTCGATGAGGTACATATATTTATATAATAACCCGTAGGAGGTATCTTTTCACGAGTCGGAGTTTACGAAGATTCCCCTGATCGCGAAAGACGATTGCTAAATAGCGTGTTAAAAATTAGTATCCGCAAGATTTCGAAAATGGCATGGTAAACAAGACTTTCACTGAAATCGTTGAGATAATTGTGTCGGCAGAGTCCGGAGGCCGTTTCCGCTTAATAAATGAATGTCAGAAGTGCCAGTTAATATTTTTCGTAAGACAATAACAATGTAATGGCGTCAGTTGTTGCGAGATAAAAGTGAATTAAAGTATGAAGAAACTTACCTCTAGCTTATTTCTTCTCTCGCCAACACACTCGTTGCTTTACCCGACAGAAGTAGTTTGCCTGACCACGTTTTTCACGAGGGATAAACGAAGCAACGCGCGCGTTTATCCGTGTCTGCGTATGCGCAACTCGTGAAGCTTGAAAAGTACACACGACACAACCAACCACTGCCTAGTTACGCGGAGTCACTCGGGTGAAAGCAGGCAAATGCGACGGCTCTCGTATTAACGTCGGGACACTAAGCACGCGGCTTGTTTTGACAGTTCCCTCGTTCCACGCACAACGAGAGAACCGTGAGATTTTGAGCGCGACAAGCCCCCACGAACCACGCGCCACGAGACCTCGCAGTGGACTGACTACTAGTGTGCTTGGATGCTGCGAGCATGCCAGAGCGGGTGCGTGGGTGCTGCACCGTGTGTAGTACCTACTGCGCATTCGCCGGTTCAGTCAGTTTACCACTAGTAAATTCTCATGAATTTTCCATGTTATATAATACACTAGCATTTATATATTGATAAGTGTAGTAGGCTTCTTGAACGCCATCTAACCACTTTTTATTACAAGTCAAGACCTGCCTTGTTGTAACGATAAGAATTAATGCATTAATAATGCCCGCGCGCACGTCAACCAATGAGCGATAGCTGCCGAAGTCACGTGACACGCCGTTGCTCGTGTTAACAACCAGACGGATTCCGTCCGACTGCATTTCGGACGATTGAAAACACAACTAGCGCCAAAGTCTCTCATGCAATATGTATATGGTGTACTATGTAAATCCGATACTGTACTAACGGACTAACATGTAAAACAAAATGAGACGCAAAGCAGAACAAACTTAGTGAACTAATAAACAACCGGAACGTACATGGAATTAGGCAGCGTTACTTTGGTACGCCCGAGAGGGTAAACGTTAGTGCACTCACGTGCGGACGCTTTCACGTTTAATGCAAACTTCGTGACAAAAAGTAATTAATTTGAGGTATAGTTAATTACCGAGTCGCATGCAGACCAACACTCGTGACAGTAAACAATTGCAGCGACGACGTTTTATTCGCAACTTTAACTAGTTTCGTTGCTCTTTTTCTCACGGTCTTTGTTGGCTTTGTATTTCGGATATTGTTAATATCTAGTACACCGAAGAGAAGCACTACACTGCCAAATCCTTCAGGTACCATGCTGGAGTGTCCGTGCGATGAAATTAACGGATGACGGCAACAGGGAATTTTTTCTCGAAATCGTCACAGCTGCGCAAATGGTAAACAGTGGACAGCCCGAGGCTGGTAACGTGCTGAGTACCGAATCGTGTCGTGATACCAACCTTCCTTGCATTTCCAAACGGTCAAAGTAGAATACGTGCTCAGTAAATCGAATGCATCATCCGTTATATTGTGAATCCTTTTGTGCTTGATGTTATATGCAATAATCTAACATACATAGATATACAGAGAATGGTGTAAATGTAGGAGCAAGTGCAGGTTTCCGCTTAAATGTCAAAGGAGTTTGTTTGCATCGAATGTCGGATGAACGAAGCGCGAATTTATGGAAAGTGGATGATTCGGGAGTGAAACGAGGAACTACTTCGCGAGGAGTGTTTCATATGTACAAAGATACATGAATGTATGTATGTCTATTGGATTCCTTGTATCATTCGGATTATTCATTTTCAGATGAAATACCGTAGCTGCCTCTGGTATATTCTGCGACCAAATTTTCAACCAAATTCGATACCTGAAAATGGATGTCAATACAAAACTTCACATTCAAGTCGTGGGTATGTGATACAACTGCGTAATCATAAATCTTTACCAAGTATCAGATTACGCGTTCATTTCATAGCCCTCAAATAAATATAGCAAGCACCATCAATTAATTTGAAATCATAATCTATTCAAGTATCGTTTTAGAGTTGTTCGATTGTTCCCCGTCAGGGAGCAGCAGTAGTAATCAAGCATGGCTTCTCTCCGAGCTTCAAGTAATTGGCAAAATCAAGGGAAAATCCTGCAAGAAATCCGCTAGTTTCCTTGGTACATACAACCTGAAGTATCCGTCGTTGGAAAACTGTGCAGAACTCAAATGGTAAAGGGCTATAATGAAACCGGCTAACGAGGCTGGCTACTCTACGTTCCTGTACACGTAATGAATGAAGATAAGCCTAAGTCATCAACGACTTCTTCTACAGTGTATACAATGAATAGGTATTTAGAAATACTAATGCCTCTAATGAACGTTTATACCATACATATAATTAGACTGTAATACGTAGTCGACTATCAAGCAAGCTTAGCTTATTCAATTTCAATATCGATCAATCTCAGTAAGATCGAAATTAAGTTGACGATCATTCCAGCATACAATGACGGCCTTGGTCTCGTAATACTCAAAGGAATACATGTTTTCACAGGGCTAGTCAAACACTGCGTGCCGTATCGTTCAGCAGTTACGAGCAATGCTATTAACCTTGAGGATACAGAAGTTTAATAGAGGCACATGCAAGGGACGATAATAGATCCTCCAGGATTGATAATGTTAGCCAAACCAAGAACCCTATAACCATCCTTCCTTATCCAGAAGACCTGACAGGAGTTGAGTATATATGCTGAAGGATGATATCGATGAGGACCAGGGTTTTCCGCATGGTTAAAACGGGATTAGCAGATGTCAACTTCAGGATATCAAGGTCCTTGTGGTATCTAGGCATAATACACTCTGTAGATGTGTAGTATCTACAACCATAGAAAATCCTTTGAACTTGCTTTTGGACCAGGATCAGAGTCAAGGAAGTTCCAGAGTTCTTCCTCATGGTGCTGGCACTACGCCTGCACTAACCTAACCTAACCACTAAATTCACACAGTACGATCAAAACGTTATGGCAACATACAAGCTTGGGACTACTGTACGACTGGATGCAGACTTCGCTGTTTGTACAATGATGAAACCCGCGCGAGCTCAACGACGTCGCGGAAGATGCTGCGCCGTCGGGACGTCTTTAGAGCTTTATGAATATGAATGAAGACGCTCGTGAGGAACACGAAAGTGCGTTTCCGAAAATCATTCGGAGACTATGCACCAACGCAGTTTTATCAGGTTCGAGAACCCCCAAGGATTAAAACTATTACGAAAATTGGATAAAAGTATTTCCGGTCAATTATACCGAGAAATTTGCTCCCACTCGGTCCAGAATTCTCGGATAGCGTGATTCTACGGGAACGCCCAGACTTCCTATAATTTCCTAGGGCGCATAAGGCTAAACTTGTGGGGTATGGCCAATTGCTCCCATTAGATCGAACGATTCTAGTCTATACTACAGTATACGTATATATACGCATGTACAGTCAGTTAGATATGTACCCAGAGAATCCTAGTAGGAACACGTAGATACACCTGTAGATACCAGGTAGACCAGTAGCTATACATACAGACACTGTGTAATCCTGGAGTGGAACGCACGAACCACAGGAACCATTAACGACGTCGCCCATCTAAGTTTACCAAGTGCTCTTTGCCAGTTAGATTTAAGTCGATTCAATAGAAAGCGCGTGAATCATATAACATCTGCATATAGACTTATACGTATTTTATTACCCATGTCCAAGGAGGTATGGATTCTCGAGCATGCCCTCGGTACCCCTATATTCCACTGTAACGGTGTACTGCAAGATTTTCCAGATAACTAGTTCCGAGTCCTCGATGGTTCCCACACGTGACTCAATTTTCTCAGGAAAATTGTTATACATAGTACCCAACGCGAAAATGCTATAGATAAATTCTGCAAGACCCCGTATACTGTGCCAACGATATACGCATAGTACCACAGTGGCTCTGTGACACGAAACAAGGACGTAGACAGAATATCGATAATCCTTTTGCGCTAATTCTCACCCTGGTGGCGACTTGGCTACCTATCGATTTTTCCCAGGAATTGGTCGGTCCTCGCCATTGAAGCTACCACCAGGATCACCACCACACAGCAAAAGCCCAATGGCAGTTTCCGGTAAGGATCAACGGCTGATTACTTTTCCAGTAATGATATCGCTTGAGATAGACGCAACGGTACAGACCATAATAAAACTTTATTCAAGATCTGCCTTATTTTCTCTTACTCTGTAGTGTATATATATATCTATTTATCATTTTCTCAGAAGCAAACCGACACTTGGCCAGGAATTATTTTCTTCTAGACTGCCCGAGACACTTTACCCAAGCTTGGACATTCGAGGTTTAATTTTTTTTCTTCTTTCAGCTTTTCCTCCTCCTGCCACCCTCGCCTTCTCTCACTCTCCATCTCTTTTCTGCATGATGGCCCAAGACGCTCAACTTCGTAGGAAGTATGGAACCCGAAGAAAAGGAAGATGAAGAAGGAGCCGTTTACGTTTCTCCGACGAGGGAATATTTTATCATCCATGAATAATGTATCTCTCAAGTTGATACGGTGCGACAACATTTAGGCAGACTTCGACCAATATTGAGACACCGTACGATTCTACCACGTGCTGTTTTCACCTCATGCAACCGCCCATATTTTTTATTCGTTGGTACCACTGCGCACTGTGTCTGTGTACTTGCTTCTTCAAATCTACGGACATACAAATCGTCAGGGATACCAATCTATTTGCTTTACTTTTTTCGCTCTTGCTCTTAAGAGCAATCTATCGTTAAATCTAGCGTTTTACACGTTCGCGCTTTACCCGTTCGCGAGCGCTAAATCTCTGGTAACGAATATTCGTGCACTGTAGCAAAACAGAGAGCAAAGATACAGGCTTGCAAGGGAGCGAGAGAGATGGAGAGAGAAAAAAAGAAAAAGAAAACAAACGGGGACTTTCTATTTTACGCCGAATAAGCACGTCCTCGGCGCTAACGAGATTCGATTTTCTGCGGATGGGGTAACAGGGGGTTTGTGTAGTATGCGGAGAGGTTGGATAAGGGGGGAGGAGGAGAGCGAGATCTTGCGATTAATTAATTTTCAGGAGAACAAAGGACAGGGATACTGGTACAGTCAAGGTGTGAGAAAATAGAGAGCGTTGTACTTATACTGCAGGGGAATATTTTTACGTGTTACGTGTACTGTACTCTATTTTAATATTTGTCTAGTAGATATAGTATTGCAAATTAATTTGCAAATTGAGCAAACTTCACGAAACGTACGATAATATTTCTCAGGATTTGGTAAAAAATTTTAGTTACCGACGTTTATGACTGTACCGAGTAAATCCACGTGTGGCTACCTACCTCGTTATAAACCGTATGAAAAATGTTCTACCCTTGTGATTTAATAACTGGGAACCATAGTCGCGGCACCGTCTAATTAAAGTGACACACGTTTTTCGAGCTGGGTTTGTGTATGCCAGCGTAGCGACGCTACTCTTACTAATGCTAATGCGACTAATATTTTCTGTTTGCCAATTATCGTTTCGATAATTTTCTCCACTTGAACGACCATCATATGACGTTCCAACTTCGTTATAATTGGGTAACGAACCTGAATTATTAAACGATTTAACCGTTTACTTGTATTGTATACTAACGCCGGGTACCCACTTGCGATGGATTTTTGAATCAATAATTTTCAAATGTTTCCTGAAGTTATTACTCGATCCTCTGAACAGCTTAATTGTTATATGTATATGTTTTATTATGTAACCATTCGATAGATTTATGGTTCACAGGATATAGGAGACAAATAAATTTACCAGTTTGCCATTGTTGTGGTTCCCCTACTACAGCGTTGCTTGCAGCTTCGTTCTACCATAGATAATGCGAATGTCTAAGAGTGGCTAACTTTGGGGTCGCAGCCGCTAATTAAAGCGGCATTAAAACTCAGCCACGATACTTGAACTTTGCGATTACGAGATAACGGAAAGACGATGCTGGGGCATCACTTTGCTCTGACCTTTCTTAATCTTTCTTTCCCCTTTCTCTATACAATTGAGACTCGCGTTACTTCCGTGCAAGATCGAAAAACTTGCTCGTGCTTTGTGCTCGTTTATAGTTCTTTCTTTGGTGTTCCAAAAAGTACCACGTCTTCTGTACATTTTTTTTTTGTGTACGAATGCGAAGAGAATGATTTTTAAAAAAGTCCGTACCACATTACTCGAAACCGACTCACTGCCGGAAACCAAGCGTGGCCTTTAGAAATGCTCCACTTCTCGGAAGACTCGACACGAGAGTTTCCTCGTTAGCTAATTAATTGTTTCTGGTAGATAACGTTGTTTCGAGGGGGCTTTATAACGGGCGGTACCGGTGAGCAACAGCGCACTTCCCCGTCCATTTTATCAGGCCACTGAGAAAAAGCAAAAACAATGCTTCCGTTCTTAAAGCAGGATAAATCCTCAAGTTAGAAAGAAGATACCGCCCAAAGTGTTCTTTCTTACATTTGAGATTTAGATTCTTAGATTTACTTTTATGCGGTACCCTTAAGAGTCTTGTATCCGCTACTTATACGTCACATTATATACCAATCTACGTTGTTAGGTTAGGTTAGGTTCAAGCTCCAGAGTCATGAACATTGAACTTTGCTTCGAAAAGATCGTAAACTTTGCACCGTTGCCTTATTAATTTTCAGCTCGAATCCTTTGAAAAGTAACCTTACGAACTTCGGATCATTATTAAACACTGAGTTCCTCTGTGTACCGTACAAGGAAGCATCTCCTGGATATAACTTTCCTTTTTCTTAAGCACAGCGGAAGCCATCGGGTCGCATAAAGAGAAAACGAATAGGAATCCCCGATATAGGTATCTAAGTCTGTACAAATGAGAGAAAAAAATCTTCACACGAAAGCGACACGACTTCTCCGACGTTCCATGAGTTTACACCGTCTACGTGACTAGAAACCGCTTAGAGTATGAGGCTCTTGGACGTGTCACGAGCTTCATACCTTTTCCATACGAGGATGTCACGCATCTTGTGACATGTGGACTTTCAAAGTCCCAGAGACTTCAGTAAACGTCACTTGGACTCTTGTGAAGAGAAATAAATATACTGGAATGTTACGTAACACGCGTCTATACGTATATACGACTGTCCGGAGTATCGGAAGGATTCGGTGAGCAAATGGCAAATGGCAGCGCTAACAGTGTCCTGGTGGTTCGCCTCATTAATTTTCCATGCGTCCTCCTAGTTAGCGCTACGCGACCTGCATCTCGAGAGAGTTCATCCTCTAGGTAGCTAGTGTACCTAGCAGTACCAAGGTACCACGTTCACCGAGCACAAGTCTGGATGATAGGTATCACCGCGTCTCCTGGAGTAGCATGAGGTCGAAGGAACGTGTATTCGAAGGATAGAGTGCTCCTATTTCTCATTCCCGACGCAAGGCCAACTCCCGGGGAAGCACGCTAGGTGTTCGTTCGTGACTGAACAGCTGGAGACATCCTGGCTAAACGGTTCTTCCTTCCACGTGAAAATTGGCACGCTGATATTCCAAGACAACAGGACATGCACGTACAGCAGTATCTACAGGGACAAAAGGATAACTTTGATTCAATTCGTCCCCCTCTCTACCCTCCGATAGTTCTCTCGGCGTGTTCCTAGCCTTACGTTTGTCCATTGTATGGACAGACAGTTCCTTGACGCAGACGATTCTCCAAGTTCCGTGATCTCTCGCTTCGTCGGACACCGGAGGATCGACGCTTCCAAACCCACTTCGAAGTTCCGCCTCGTCCTGATAACGTTGCAGCTTGAACTCGTGACGGATTACTCCGAGTCCTAAAGTTCCACTCGAGTTCATCCTCCACGTGAAGTTATCGTTAGTCGGCAAGGACTAAGCCTCAGAATGATGCTGAACCTCGGGGTGTTAAAATAAGCTATAGTCACGTCTTGGATACGTAAATAAAAGCATAGTGTAATACGTGGTACATACGTAAAGGCGATATCATTACATAAAATTGATTCTTTATTATGTACAATTCCTGGGAGATTGTCACGTGTAAATCCAGTCTGATTTTTCAGACTGCGTCCCCAAGGATAACAAGCGGATGTCGATTGTAAGTGTGATAAATGTCTGCTAGAGTTCTGAAGGATCATTCTTACGTGGAGGCATCGAGGCCAGCTCGTATTGCAAACTCCGTGGAATATCAAGTAGAAAAGCATGATGATCGTAACGCAGATGTTTCTTAATGGCTCGCATGGACAGATCGCGTAGAGTGTAGAGTGGTAACGTGATATATACGTATGTCCTGTCGATCCTTGATGGAAGATCCTGACGTCGCATACCCTGGTACTTGGTGGTCCAGGCTTCCGGGAAGAAGACTTCGCTACAGTTGACTTTGAACCTGGAAAGTATTCTTCCTGCTTAAAGGGTTCGTATCTGTCTTCCTATGTCTGAACCGATTGTCAGACTCCTTTGACAAGTCTATCCTGAATTTTTAATTTAATTCCTTTTAATATTGTTCTCTCTCTCTCTCTCTCTCTCTCTCTCTCTCTCTCTCTCTCTCTGGCTCATCTCCGTAACCTCCGTAAATCTTACCTGTCTCTCGTTTCCTCGTCGACGAATATCCAAGGATGAGTAACGAATGTATTTACGTCAAGGTGATCTCTATAGGATAGTACTTTATAACGAATGGCCTGTCCCTGATAGTCGATCCAGTAGACGCCGACGTTCCGTTTGGTAGTGTTAATAAAGCGGATGAAGGATATTTGTATATTGTTGAGAGAGCGTAGAGCAGGGAGAGAGGAGGTCTCGTCGACGGGCTCCATTTTCCTCCTGGAATTGATAGGAGGTTCAGGAGTCGATAAAAGATATTCGACGATTCTCTATGGCGTCCAGTTTATACCCTACAGATTGCCTTCAATGTTTCTTTGGCTTCGAGTCCTAAGGACGATGTCTCCGTTCGTCCTCAGAGTCTGAAATTCTTTTTTCACGTGCTTTGTATTTTTATTTCATCCCTCTCTCTCTCACTCTCTCTTTTTCCTTTCACCAAGAGATTCGTCCTTTCAACTCGTCGCGCTATGCGTCTTCCGTGCACTGAAACCAAAAGCACATCCAGGATCTGTTAGAAGGACGATCGGAGTCGTGGGAAAAAGAATCGGGGATTTGGGAGGACAATTTTATATTAAATCTGATCAAAGTTTATGTATCGAGTAGCGTCCGTTTGTACGGGACCAGAATGACGTCCTTAAATTGTCAAAGGTTTTATCGTCCAAGCTTCTCCTTGTTACTGAAAAAAAAAAAAAGGAAACTGAATAGAGGAACATGTTGTAGAGAGGTAAAAAAAAAAGAAGGGATTCAGACCAGTGCAAACGTTGAATCTCCATTACGCTTTTGCAAAAGCGGAAGTATGGCTCGGGACAGAGCTGCGAGGATATTCAAGAGAATGGAGTGTCTCTCGCCCAGGGTAATATAAATGGGCTTGCTAACTTTTAAGAGGCGTGCCTCCTTTGGAGCCGACGGTGACTGCCCGTGGAAAAGTTGCCCGAATGAAAATGAATGGAAGCGGCCAGACATTTATAACCGGTGGCAAAGTTGGATTATTTGCAAATGAGCGGCTGAAAACTCGGTACTGGTGCGCGACCTTTGCCGCCGTTAAACAATTTGAACAGTGGTGCACGGTGTCGCTCGCCGCGGCCAGTTTCATTCAAAGGGTCAAAAGAGCAGCGAGTAAAGCAAACGCTAGCTGGTCCTCGCTGAAGACCACGCGATTGTCTCTTTTTGAATTGCTTGAATTCATCAGCAATACAGAACGTAACTCTCTCGACGAGGATTCGCCAGAAGTGCCAGAGAGAACAATCAGAAACCACTATCACGAATCCATTGACCAATCCAGGAAGAATGATGAGCCAAGATGAACTCTCTCATACCTGAATGATAATTACAGTAAATGCAATCTGCGTTCATGAGATCCTAACTAAATATAACTCAAGATAACTAACTTGCATCTTGATCATTAAAATCTCATTCCGTCGATTAAATCCGAACGAAGCCATCTGTCCATAGTGCAAAGGAACTCGCTAAGTGCAATGAGTCGTGAGTTCTAAGCGAATTTCGATTATTAAAATCTTCACCATTGAGAAAGCGAAGATCCTCGCGTATACCAAGTGTCCAATGGCCGCCTTTCAATTGTCGTCATTAGAATGTATTTGGTTGTCTGCTTGTCGCGGAAAGACCCTTAAAAAAAAAGAAGAAAAAAAAACACTATAATTTCCATAGGTAACAATTTCACTCCGATGGATCATTCTGCCTCATGGCAATCGTGTTGGCGATAGAGGTTATGGTGCTTGTGGTTAAAGCGTCACGAGAAGGAAAGCATAGTGACAAAGAGTAATGGCTGGTTTAGAGTAAGTCGGTGAGAGCAGAAAATTATCCTGAGGATTCTTTTATCTCTCGGCTCTCAGCCGTCTCATGGAAAGGCGCCACTGCAATAGCGGATTAACGCTTTGGATACTTCCTCTGGCAAAGAAGTAATTACTAGACAGAAAACACACTATTGGTCCTCCATTAAACTTTTGCGAGTCTCCATCTTGCTTTATTTTTTCACTACTTTTACTTCATTCCTTCCTTTAAATTCCCTTCGCAGCGTGCAGCTAATTTCGAATGGCCTTCTGGACTCATTGAGTATTCTTCTGTACCTCCTGGACCTTATGAACCGCTCCATTAACCCATCATTTCCTTTTACATTCTTAACAAGCGAGATTGGGAATTCCATCTTTTTTTTTTTTTTCGTTGCTAAGTCATAGCTCCTATATCCTTCCTGTCGAAAAATTCAAGCTTTTTCGTTAGAGTGTTTATTGTGATCATCATCCAGCCCTCTTATTATCCTCCTTGCACTCTAGAAATCCTGTTAAGAGTCCTGATTAAAGCCTGAGAGGAATTACAGCGGGTTGCTGTATTCGCAAAATTCCGTCGGACAAACTGCTACAGGAACTCTGGCAGCAGAGAATCGAATACATTCTTGATTAGAACACGAGCGTCTTCGCGCCTCTAACTACGGATTCCCACTAATTGCCTCCAGACGGAGTTACGTCTTCGACCATGGGTACAACAGTCTGAGGTGTCGTGTAATCTTCTTATACTTCTTGTTGCATCTGCTGGGCGACTGTAACATCATACCCAAGCTTAATGGATGAACCATGTTGAGTTAGTCCGTATTCAAGATAATAATCCACATGCTGTATTTTGCATTAGCTGAAAAGAAATAGTTATATTGTTAAATTAATCAAATACAAAAGACTTTGGTAAAACACATCAAACTAAAACAGTAGCCATGAATCAATTGGACGTATGGGAGAGGCGCAGGACTTGTCCGACGTTCTCTACATCCTGGACAGGTGAATCCGGTTAAATCCTAAGGGAATGCCCATGAGAAATCGTCCCGTCGTACCAAGGGGATGAAGAACGAGGATAATACCAATACATAAGACGAAGCACCTCGAATCCCACAATGATATTTGAGAATCCTTAACCTGTTGGTACGTACATAATATATAGAATGTTCCTGGATGTGCTTTCTTGGTTGGTTAACAATATAGTAACTTTTTCAAATACACTACCGAATATCATACACTGGTCATAACCACTGGGTGTATAAAACGTAGCGGACGATATCAAGCGTGAAATATGGTCTCCACGGTGCATCAATTCACAAACATACCGATGCGTATACCTCATATGTATACGTATGTGTATATATATATATTTCGTGCGTTTTATCCCATACGGCTTACACGGGGTAAAAGGAGGGAGAAACAACGATGATGAACAGTATGCCATATTGCGCAAATTCAGTAAAATCGAGTATTACAAAAGCTACTGTTATCTATATTTATTATTCAAAATGGGTTAAAAATATTTTTCAACGAATTTTCACGTTCGAGTCCTCAAGGTAGAAAATAATCAGAATTAATTTTAATTGAGAGATCATGTCTGTGAGATCTTGGGAATTATCTACTACTGTCGTTGGTGCCAGTCGAATATTTAGGAATCCATTGTTGAGCGGATTGAGGTTCCCTAATCTTATGTGGATTCCATGTAATCCAAGAAGTGCTATTCTCAAGTAACTTATCTAACCTGATTGTTTTTCTTAGGGGGTGGTATCTCCAAGGGTTTCGGAGCTCCCATTAGATGCATCATTCTCTTAAGGACAAACTTCAAGGCACTTCTATCCTTTATACGCTCCTTCTCGCGTTGATCGTCCTTAGAGCGCCTCAAGGAACGGACAATATGATCCTGCTCCTCTGCTTCGACGTATCGCTTTAAGTAAAATCATAATGAACAGCGTTTGAATTTGGCGCCATTAAATCCAAAGCGTTACAGCCTCGACGACAGAGAATAAAAGAGAGAAGCCTTAGAAAAAAAATTATTGAACGCTACGTCTGCGGATTTTTTCAAAGTCCCATAACGCTCCTCCATCCTTTGCAGATAATTCTGATGGTCCTTCTGTCTCAATTCCTCGTCTGCCAATTCACTGCGTTCAATGTCGTTCAAACGATTCGCCATTGATTCCAATGTCGGTAACAGATCCGCTACCAACTGTAACGGAGACAAGCAATGTTTAACCCGCGCTCCAACTCCTTTCCTCTACTTTTACACTGACGTTGAAAAATGTTTTGTACTCTATTACGAATATCGGCAGACTTCAAGGCAAACCTATCAGCCATATTGATAAATTCCACCCAGCGATTCGTCATGTCCTTGAGATCCTGTCGTTGAGCTCTCAATTCACGAATCAAAATGTAACATACCAACGAGTCGCTCTTTATGGTTCCCCCAAAGAGTCTCTCCTCGCTATTCGTCAACTTTACGTTACACCTCGCCTCACCGTTAACGCTATCCATTTCACTGAGAATCCTAGCTTGATCCTGAAGGAGGAAAGGAAACGGTATATACATAGAACGTATAGAATTCGTTGAGAGGAAGTAAAAGAATGATTTACGATAAAGTAACTCACAAGAATTCTTTCCTTAAGAGAGCAGATAGCATCCAGCAGAGAACAGTGACATTTATCAGAGCAGGGCATAAACTCAGGATGATGGTACAGTCCAGAATCATCATATATATCATCTTTGTCAATAAGCTTCACACTGTCCGAGTCATTCGAATCATCCAGTAGAACAGCTCGAATGACCCTGACTAATTTCGAATCTCCATGACGAATCACTGGATTATCCTGTTGATCTCCTTCCATGTTTTTCTGATCTACACAAAAATTATCGTCTCTCTCAGACAAAGAATTTTCGTTAAAACCTACAAAAAATGCTCAACGAGCCATTACGATAACCAAACTTTATTTCAACAAGAGACATACGAACGAGCATCTCTCAAACGACCTTCAACCGTTCTACCCATTCGTTAGGTATACTTGAACGTACGTACATTTTATTAACGTAAAGGTTATCAGATTATTAGATCCATTATGAAATTCGAAACTCACTTTTGCAATCCCAAGTACTTACGAATGACGTTTACCGTCTAAACAAAGTTTCGTCTGAACGGAGGCGTTGCGACAATCGTCGGAGTAGAGCAACGACCGTAGTGATTTGCAAACGAGACTTTGCCCTAGATACAAATTAGAGTGCATATACAACATGCAATTATATATTGTATTGTATATTATGGCTTTGGGTACAGTGGTCAGACTGATTTACCCAGGGTTCGCCAATTCCTCTAATTAATATAACCAATTATCGTAGCGACCAAATATCTCTGTCTCTATCTAACGATATAGTTTCCTACTTGGCTATCACCATAGTATACAGTACTATTCCCATGGTGCACCACCAAGCACCATAGTACACTATGGAATACTACGTCTATTCTATATAGAATACATATATATATTCCACCCACGTGACAGAGTAGGTGGCTACGACGCGTCGCTACATAGATATTCCTGCGGTCGTTGGCCGTCCGCAAAGCCACAAACCGTAACTCAATTAATCCTGATTGATCCGCGCGCATACGTAGAGATAGAAAAAGGTTGCAAAGAGTCTCGTGTCGACAAACCAAAAAGAAGAGGCACGCGGTATGCTTGACAACAGCTGATGACTGATCAATGCATAAACTGTATTAGCTGGGTGTCCCATGATGAATGATGAGGCTGGGAGGATAGCCGTCGTAATTGATTAGGAACGTCTAATCGAGATACGTATAAGGAATTCTCGAATGTATTACCATAACTAAACTGAATATAAAGGATATAAATAATATACCGCCATTTTCAGATAGGATATCCTGATGTTACAGCCACGAAGACAAGTAGCAGACGACGAAGTTGTCTCGGTAAACGAGGGAACGGGTATCGCCTCCTAGCGGCGTAAATAGAAACGTCCCGAGAGATTTCCTCGGGATACAACAGAGAATTTTTCAAGACTTCGTTACCGGGAGTCTAGAGGCTACTGAGTATACTGAATTTTCTCGTTAGCATAGCTCAAAGTACGACGAAATGAGGTTACTATTAAGAAAAACTAAATTTATGGATATACTACTTACTCCTGAATGGCGAGAGCATCGTGGGAGCCTCCATATTGCCATCACTAGTACCGGCGTGTTTATTAAACAAGGGTAGGTATACTCGTACGTAAACACATTCATGGACATAAGGGCGCACCTGCATTGCTAATTCTAAAGGATTTTTCAGCGCCTCCAGCAGTGAATCGCATTAATCCTACAGGCACGTTGGGTAGGACGAGGGCTTTGCCAGTCGCGGACACGAGCGCAAATTACCGGATCTCACGGTGGAAAGCCAGCATTATCCCAAAACCCAGGGTAACGCCACCACGGCAAATAAATCAAACCGTCCTGGCGTTATTGTATTTATTGCAGAATTAGGCGTGACGAATGGAAAGCCCCGATGTTTGTTGCGCGATTAACCCGCCACTGATTGCCATTGCTCTGCCGGTACCATAGACGATGGTACGGCAATCGTCATTGGCTAATCGCATTGGACGCGTCGAATAGCTTTCGAGCGTTCGTTATGCTTTAGCCAATGTCGCGGCAGGATATAAAATATCCAACGGAAAGTCTTACACAGTAATATCGAAACGCCGTATTAATGCCGCGAAAGGAAGTCTTTCGGTTAAGAAAGTAATATCCTTCGTGGCAGTTCTCCCTACGTAGAAAATAAATCCAATTTAAAGGATAAGAAGAGAAATATCCTCCATATTGTTACGCGTCATAGACTGCGAAAGCAGTTATGCCAGCAGTAAAAATAAAAGAAAAATGCAGCTCTTAAATGCGGTATACTTCACCGCCACGTCTGCCTCCTGAAGATTGGAACCTGGCGGAAAGTTTATCGACGTGTTCCCGGGCGAGCTTTTCGTTTATACATCCGTCCCAGTCGGGATATGTAAGCGCTCCTGTTATTGCAACGCGAAATTATTCGTCGCGAATATTATGCCGACGAGTATTCCGCGCCACGTCGACTATCTTCGTATACATATTCTTTCCGACGGTAACCGCGTGCAGAGCTGCCGGCAGACACAGTACATAGATTCGTCTGGGCGTCGAGACACCGTGCAACAATCCTTTTTCATCCCTTACTTTTCAGGCACTTCCTACATATTTCTATTATTTCCTCGTGCCTCCCTCAAATTTCTCACTGTTATTTATTCCCATTTTTTCCCCCCTCTACTGATACTCTCCACATAACCTCACAATGAGTGTCGGATCGTAGCGACCACCGGGCTCCATCGTAAAGCGTTATATACTCGATTGGCTCGACGGTTATAAATTAAAGGGCAAATCGTGCCGAACTACTAATTTAATACTCGTAATGGGTTTGGGAGTATCGTTCGTTTATTAACCACCCTTCCCCGTGTCCTCCCCCAGACTCCTCCCTCCCTGTCCCTCATCGCGATTGTGGGATATGTATGAACATAATGGTATGCAATATTTTATCGCAAATTTGTGCAGATTACGCGACTGTATTTATCCGCGCGTAATGTGTCAGTAGTAAAAAGAATTCTCTAATATGTCACGTAGACAGCCAATTACCTTTTTATTCCGTTCTTTTACTTTTTTATATCCTCTTCTACGAATTACGTACACGATTATTACATGAATCCGAGTACACATTAAGCTTACACACGTCTGGTACGTCGGACGCTATATACGGCTATGGACTGCATAGGAAAAAAAGCGCAGAATTTCTTTGCAATACTTTTTCATTACTTGCTAGGATATTAAAAAAAAAAAAAAAAAAAGAAAAGGAAAAA